AGTGCTCAATTTCTTATCTAGTATGTTAAGACCTTCAAAAGTTCCAAGCACAAATTTGCAGAGCTTATGCATTTCATAGTGAATTCCACATTTTCTCTGGGCTTAGAAAGCACTGATAGAGATGACAAATAAGATGAAAATTTACGACAGCAATATCTCTAACTTTATAATTTATGCAAAAGTCCTACATAATTTAGACTCCTTGGGTTAATCTTGAGTAAACAATATAATCTTGAAAGCTTTATCTCATCAATATTCTTGGACTTGTTCATTTTCATGCCAATAATCAGACAGAAATGATTTTGCTTATATTTTGCAAATGACTTTTTAAAAAATCATTTCCATAGCTTCACTGTGAGTCTTAGACTTTTATAGTTGTCAAAGCTGAGCTAGGGAAAGCTATGACTGACTGCTTCATTTTGACAGTTCCTTTGGAACAATTATTTAATGTGAGCATTATTTAAATGTGAAAGTGGAATGAATATATTTTGGTGTGTTTTTAAAATTTGGTCTCAACATCTTATCTTCCATCTACATTTAAAGCATCACATTATTCTTTGCTTCCTGCCTTCCATTTAAAGTTAGTACAGAGTTTAAATATTGAGAGAAGTAATTTTGACTACAGAGCAAATGATAAACACATTGATATGCTACACTTGGCTCTGTTAGTCTCTTAAACCCATCGAGGAAGGGGGCAGAAGTAGTCATTTTAAGTTGAAGCAAAATGTGATCCTTCTTGAGTGGTACAGTGGACAGTTTAGAAAATCACACAGATTTCAGAACTTTATTTCAAACCCCTTGGGTATTTAAAGTTACTTTCACTGATTGTCATTTTGATGAAAGATCTTCCCATTCTCTTCAGACTTGCAGGAATTATGGTTATGTTACAATGGAGTTATATCATAGTTATATTTACAATGAGGTCCTGGTCACCCATATTGAGGGATACTTAATAGGTAATAGAGGAAATTTTATAGAGCGATGACAAAGCAATTATTATTGTCCTGACAGGAAGATGAAGTGAGATGAAAATGAATAGGGAATAATCACTTGTTTTCTTCAAAAAATGGTGTTGTTCAACTGACGGGCATAATCTGAAGAGTTTCTGTCTTTTTCACATGTCATTTGTCTCAAGAATCAGCAGGCAGTGGTGTTACACTTATTTTGAAAATTGCCTATATGTACAAATAGCATTCATTACATGCAACTTTTCTCAGCTCTAAAGGGCAAAGGGAAAACAAATTATTTCAAAATAAAGAATAAAAATAAGCTATCACCAGCATGGATTTTTCTGCCTCAGGATAAGAATGAAAATGCCTCATGTTGTTTTCAAACATTCCAGCCACCAACTCCAGATAGCGTAGACAAACATAATTTTTGTTGTTGACATAATGAAAATGATGCTTTTCAAGCATTTCCCAGAGCATAACTTGTTTTCTGTACGTGTCCAGTTGTGTGACCATAATGAAGGCTGGTGGTGTGGGAAAAACAAATGCACAAATGAAAAGCAGTGAGTCAGATAACACATTTATTGCTGTCAGTAGGAGCCAGGGTTGCCAAATCTTCTCAGTAGACTGCCACTGAAGTGCATGGCATGCCATTTGCATATTGAATAAAACGCAAAAATATCCAAAATTAAACTAAGCCACTGTATTTTCAGTGTCTTCCAGGAAAAAATTTGGAAATTTGTTTTTTGGGGGCAGGTGTTTATTAGATAACATGCAAAAAAAAAGTAGCCTTAGGAGATGAAACTAAATAAGTTAATATAATTATCTCAATAATATAGACAGAACACTAACCCTAACTCTAACTCTGACCTAACCACATTGAATACTTACTATACCCAGAAAAGAAACGAAATGAAGGCTGAGGAAAATATCTTTGATTTATTGGAAATTCTACTCTAGAAGAGTAAACATATGGATCTGCAAGCCACTGAGGTAGTGACCAAGATTTCTTGATCCAGCTATGAAGGCAAAGCCAAATGTGTACACACTTCTTTAACCCAGAAAAGATCTGTAACAGGTTATTAATCAAATAGCCATGCTAGGCTATTGATTCAATCATAATATTTATGGTAGCATTAATGAAATTCTGATCCTGTCCTACAGACACAAACTATCTATGGTACAGTGCAAAGAATTATGATGATAAATTTCTGAAATAAAAACTATGTATCCATTGACAAACTAGAAAGAATACATTAAAATTCTGGCAAATCATTTATCAAATGATAGTGAATAATCTTCTTTCCACATTGGGTTTAGAGTGTGAGAAGGAATATCAAAAGCATCTATGACTTATCCTAATAAATTCCAAAGAGATTACTGGGCTACATTTCTTTCAACATGTTCATTCTACATTAGTCTCTGCCATTTTATTTTGGTTACTGTCTATACATGGCAGAAAAACAATAACTTTTAAATAATTTAACTTTACTCTCGAGTCGTAAATAATTGTTTAAAACAAGTACTTTTCCTGTAAGGTAATTTTTCACTTGTTTCAGTTATTCATAACTAATCAAATATAAGTTGCAAACTATTTATAGAAAGAGAAACAGTTTCAGGAACCGCATAGCTTTGAGTTGGAGTTCCGTGAACTTGTCAAACAACCTCAAATTTCCAGCCCTACTTGATTAGTCAGATCAGCAGCATGACTCTATAATGAATTCTACCTTGGGCAATGCTAAAGTTATGTCCCCATGAAAAGTGACATTTGATGCAGACTCCTTGTAGCACTAATCTTTTGTACATAAAAAGGGTAAAGGAAACACAGAACTGAGGTACTTATGTTAGCAATTAATGTGAAAAGGGAAATATTCAGATACTTAAGATAAAAGGAATTAGAAAATTGGACTGCATCGATAACAAACTAAGTTCTCAATTCTACTATACTAAGATACAAAGTGTTTTACAAATGAAAATTACTGACAGATATTTCTAAATATTATGCCCAGTGTAAGTGAGCAGAATCCCTCAAAACGGATTCTTTCCTTATTTTAGCAAAAAGTGACATTAATCAGGCTATTTTTATTTTCTTCTGTTATTCAAGTTTGTAGAGTGATGGGGTGCATGCCAATAAACTATCAGGTAAGATATTCCACAAACATGAAAAATAACTTTTAACCCAGTTTCCACTTACTTACACTGGGCTTCTGAAGGAGACAGATGGACATCATGAGAAATGTAACACCTATTAATGATTCCAGTTCCGTCTCTGCCAGTGAGCCAGTTCCTGCTAAGAAGAGGCCTCATCTCTCATCCCCCAGCACTTCCCTATCTCACTTGCCCCATTCTCTCAGCTGCCCTGTGGTATGACCTTCATTACCCTGGCCTGTTGACATCACTGAGGACATTATCTACCAGCACACTCAATGCCAACCCTGGAGAATTTGGGCCCTGTCCCACAGTAACTTAGTATGGCTCCAGAGCTCATCAGTGATCACTCATGGTCTGCTTTTCTTTCATTTGATTACCATTATTCAACTAATACAAAAGAAGACCCTCTATTCACAAATCATTTATTGTTAAATAATAAATAATATTAAATACTATAAAAAGACTTCAACTGTGCTGTCAAATTTAACAACACTTTTATTTATTCATTTCCTAATGTCGTTGGACTTAGTAGGAAGTTTTGCTTTTTTAGCAGTGTGACACAGCCTACCAAAGGTCTACATAGAACGACAACCAAAAAGTCCTCCAGTTTTCCTTCCTTATTTCTTTCCAAGCTTGGTCACTACAATTTTTTTCCTGTTATTGGTGTTCAACTGGAGCAACAAATTTTCCTGAAATCTTGAGCCTATCAGACTTCAAACTGGAACCATATCTGCAGCATACAAACTGCTGGTCTTCTAGAGACTCCATGATACGTAGGACTGTGTGTGTGTGTGTGTGTGTGTGTGTGTGTGTGTGTGTATAATTTTGTTATATTTATATAATTATGCTATATAGCACATATATTTATATATATGAAAATACACACATACCATTGACTTTTCCCCTGAAGAACCTTGAGTATTATACCCATCCAATTAGATATCAGTTTTGCTTATTACTTAAATATTTTTAAAGTTTGTTTTCTGAATTACAAATATATTTTTTTTATTTCAAAGATGACTCAGCCTGGGTATGATTGAAGAATTTTCTTCCTAAAAGCAATGGTACTATGATTAGCTCACTGTTTCTCTTAAAAGTATGGAATAAAAGTTAATGTATGCAGGTCTCTGTGCTGTTGGAATGTTCCCTGCTGAGTTCCACAAACTACCTCATATGTGTTCAGACACAAGCATCTCCCATCAGATTCCCTTGCTCTATTCTCACTGTGCAAATTCATTACATGTTGAGGCTACATAAAGTGGCCTTGTATGTCCACAGCTGAGAATGCTCCTCAAGAATCTCAATGCCTTGTGGTGCTCCCAAAGCTAATATTTTAGGTAATTAAGGGCTTACAGTATGACTCATTTCTGCTGAAGTGGATTCTTCCTGAATCAGGAAAAAGGTTTCTCTTTAAACCAGTGTCATCAACTCGTCCCCATCCCTAAAAACAAAGGATTATGACCAGATCTGGCTGAGACTGTTGTGAGAGAATGAAACTCTAGGCAGAAACACAGTTCCTTGTCTCTCCAGTCTTTACTCCATCCACCACAGTTTTAAATCATAAATTCCATTGTAGTCAAAACTGAAGCCCAAGGTAGAGGGCAGGTCTGTCCCTAAAATGATTGCAAGGCCAGGTCTCCATCACAGAGCCTAAGCCGGAACCCTCACTCTATCTCAAGAGGGCACACTGCCATCTCTTCCAATGGATCACCAACCTTCCCTGTCACATTAGGAAGCTTATTTCAGACTAAACCTTCTCAACACTTGTGAAAATGAGAACAGGATGCTTCAACTGAGGAGAAATATGTGTTTGTTAAAAAACCAAGACAACATTCTCGATATTCATTATAATTATTTTATTAAACAATCAACTTTTACAGTCATCGAACCTTACCCCTGAAATGCAAAAAAACAGTTTGAGGTATTAAAACTGAAAGGAAATTTGCACGTATTTTGTAAGGTTTTCATACTACAATAAACTCAGTCTAAGTAAATACTACAGAAAATAGCAGGTTTGTAAGAACAAAGCTGACAATGCCCTCAAACAAACCTGGTTTATTTCATTATAACTCCAAAAAAAGAAGAAAGGGTGGCAAAAAATAATAGGAGACTTAAGTTGCTTCCAAAATGACGTATGTCCATCATGCAGTTCTATACAATGGACTACAGAATTTAAAAGGTCAAAAACTGAAACAGTAGCCATCCCAAAAGCATAAAAATCAAACTGCCAAACCAGCTCCAATGATATAATGTCCTATTCACAAAACTTAATCCTCAGATCAATGGCAATTCACTTAGCGTATCTGAAGTAGATTTGCCGGAATTTTTCAATACTACTCATGCACACGCATGGTCACATTAGTAGCGCAATCTGTTCATCAAGTTAGCACGATAAAAGAATTTTCACTTCAAAGGTGTTTTGAAGTAACACAGGGAAGAAGAGGTTGGTTTTTTTTAAGTGATTTAAACATTTTTTGATGTTGGAGAAATTATCTAGAGATTTTGCAGATCTTGCTTCCATTTTGTTCCTACACTTCATGATAGAAGAGCGGAAGCAATTATAGCTAATCATCATAACACAGACACTTGCTTCTGAAATATTCAGGCAAATAAGGGGGAAAAGGTGATTTTTGGCTTGATGATTTGTTTAATAACTTATAGTGTAGATACTCCATTTCAAGCAAAGCTAAAACTGCATAATGATTTGTGTGTAGTATAGTAAGTCCTGAACAATGGGACATGAATATTAAATAAAAATCGTTATAGCAATATTTTACAGTTAACATAGCACTTCTAGGGGCCACATATGCTAAGTTTTGGTGTTGGTCATTGAGTTGTTTATTTGGTCATAGTAGATAGTTTGAACAAAGAGAAGACTGATTTTTAAAACATGGGTACTTCAAACTTGACTTTTAAAAAAATTCCGCAAAACTATAAAGAGTCAAATGCTCTTAGAGCTTACTATTACAAGAAAATTCTGTTTATCACATGATAATTATGGCATCTACCAGAAGATAACTTAGGAAAATTGCTCTTAGAAGAGCAATTTATTCAAGTAGACACCAGCAAACTTCTGCAAGTTCCATTTAATCTAAGTCTCTTTTTGTTCTAGGAGAAAAAGGGAGCAAAGGTTGTTATAAACCCTTATGTGAACACTGAGCTTGAGGGGTGATCATGTCCTCTTGCTATATAGCTTGTTTTCCATGCAATGACTTTTGAATAGAAATATTATTTGTAAAGTTGGGGTAGCTCATGCCTAGCATAAGTAATATTCTGGGTTTAGTTCTATGAAATGGAGCTCCCCAGAACTTCAGAGGAGGAGAATGAAGGTGAGGAGGAGGAGGAGGAGGGGAGAGTGTCACAACTGCCTTATTGCTGGAATTGCAGCTGTGGTAGAAACTGAATTATTTCCTTGCAAGAGGCATTAATGTATGCTGCAATTTTATACCAAAGTTTTATCCCTTAAACGTGAAAGAAAACCCATCACTGTCACTCCAGAGTAATATGATCTAAGACCACTCAATGTCCTTTGGAAAGTAGCAATGATTTCCCTATTTATTGGTTTGCAATGGGTGGCTCAGGTTGTTTTACATTTCCCAGGAGTTTGATTTTGTATTTATTTTTTAAAGGATGTTATCAGACATGAAAATCATCCCCCAAACACAGTAGGTTAGAGAACAAATACCTGATTTTCAGATGTCAAATTGGATGGTCTAATTAATATATCACCCTAAGCTGGAATATAGTAACAGAAGAAAAAAAATCACCGTTCATGATAAGACCACATATGCAAATTTAAAGCCATTACACTGATCTTTAAGGCTTACGGGAAAAATGAAACAAATTCCATGTTTTTTCTATGCCAATTTTTGTCTTGTAAACCAACAATCTGAAGAAATTTGAAATGAAATTAAATATGACTGATCCTGGAAGATATAAATCCTGATTATGTTTTACTAATTGTCAGTATGCCACTGATGTCATAAAAAGAGGGTTGGCCACATATACAAGTAATAATACCAACATTAGAAAAATCATTTCACTATCATCGTTCTGATGAGATTATACTGTGAAATCTATCAAAGCTAAAATATCAAATGATAGCTGGCATTCAACTCTGGTGAACTGGCTGCAGTTGTACTGGGATAGTGAGTTAAGCCTTCCTCCAAGAGCAGACCCTGGCATAGTCACTCAAAGACTGGGTTTCTTATGCCATTCAACACCAAACTGGTGGGCCCCTTCTTGTGCAGAAGGGCCAATGAGCAAAGGAGAAGAGAAAAACTCATGACTCCCAGAATAACCATTCCCGATATCAGTGCACTGGTGATGGTGTTCAGCTGGAAAGGAGCTACATTCAGAGAACCTGCAGATAATCACAAACACACCAAAGGATTGAATAAAAATAAACAAATAAGCAAGCAATAAAACAACTAACTATAAGATGCTATAACAGTTAGCTAATAGATCATATATGAGTTTAAAAATCATCAGTGAGCTGCTATTTAAAACATAAAAGACTTATAAAACTACAGTGCATTACTTTTATAACTGACCACCAAATACTTTTAAAACATAGAACTTTTGTTTTTAATAAATGTTAATTATCTTACCAAGCTGTGAATTATTTGTTGGCGTCTCATCTAAGGAATGAAAACAGAAAAAAGAAGTAACAAATCTCTCCAAATATTTATCTTTGCTTCCTGAGTCCATAATAACTTTGTACCTGTATCTTTCTTGTCCTCCACCCAAAAGCTCCAAAGGGAAGGCAGAAATTAAAGTCCTCTTTGAACCATTTTGCTTTCTCATTTTTCTGTCCCACATTTCATCATTTGTCTGTTTCCCAAGTCCACATCCTGCCACTTCCCTGAATATCCGAAGGGAATCTCACAGTATATTATGTTATGTCCTTTCCTTCCAACTTTGTTTCATCATTATCTCACCAATCAGGTTAGTAGGAGTAGTAGCTGTTAACAGTTTTTACATTTTTAAGGTTCTATTACCTCTCACTTGTTATTCTGTTACAGAGAAATATTCATTATTTAGTGCCATTCTATTTTAAGTGTTGCAAATTTGCCCAGTGTAATCTTTAGAAACAACGTTTTAAGTTCCAAAAAGATAAATTCACACTTAATAACTAAATGAAAGGGAAAAAATGAATTCAGGGCTTGAATTGTAATTTTATTTGCACCTGTTAAATCAAAATTTGAATCTGTTGATTTTTTCATTTTTTTGGCAAACATAATAATTAAACATTAAATATATTCCCTTGTCTTCACAATTCTAGGGTCAAATGTGAACCCTTGAGTTTATACAACTATTGGATTTCATATTTGTGTTAACAAATGTGCTTGTGAGTGTGAGTTATTTGAACTATAAAGTATATGCAGTTCATTGTCTATTTCTCATATATAAATTTATTGTAATTAATGTATGTATACTGTCACATGGTTTATAAAGTGCTATTTCACATATTGTCACATTTTATTCTTATGATAGCTACATTATTGCTACTCCCATTTTACAGATGAAAACACTTCCAACCAACACTGCTTTTTACAGACAATTCCTTCTCATGGAAATAGAATAAATGAATGGACTGTGATCAATTCATCCAAAAGATCTACATGTCTTTTGCAAAACAATGTACCTCAATGGAGCATAAAAGTATAGCACAGAAGTGCTAACTGAATTCCTAGGAACTTTATGAATTTGAGGTTAGTAGAAACCTGACTACTTCCTCCAATCCCCATATTCTCATCAACTTCTATAGAACAGTATGTGAGATACCACCCATGAGCACCTGGCTATGGATAAAATCTTCTGGTGTGTATGTCACATTAGCACATTACCTCCTGTTCCTAGACTGAAGAAAAGAAGAAAAGGAAATCATCCTACCATTGGCAAGTGAACAATCAAACGATAAAATAGTTGAATACTGTTTGGAATTATATTTTCAGGTAAATAAGGATAGAATTGCTTTATGGGGTTGCTGTTTCTGGTGTTTTCCAGTTCCATGTCATTGTAGTAAAAAGGGTTGCCTGGTCCAAAAGAAGAGGCAGACATTTTCCAGGAAACATTTGACACCACATTACTCTGTTTGCCTTAAATCCACCCACTCTTGACATACACATATAACCTAACAGAGGTACGAGGAAGCTTCTGAAAAATTATAACAAATTTGGATATCAAACATGGTGAGCATTTCAAAGAATATTTACCTACTTTAAGATCCAAGGGGGAAAAAACAGTGGCAAAATCACAGTTGTTCCAAAGCCAGGAAGAGCAGACACATTGTCATTCTCTGCTTTTTTCTCATATAACAGTAAGAATTAATGGAAAATAAAAATCTATGCAGAGTGAATATCTCCATTCTTATCTCTAGAAAACTATTTCTAAAAAAATCTTTCATTACCCACATAAAAGTTAACCTCTAAACTTCTTACTTTACTCTGTGTTATATTTGATAATAGTCTACTCTGAACTCTAAGGTCCCTGAAGATAAAATTTGTGGCCCAGTTCTTAGCAAAGCAATGATCTCAAGTAGAGGCTAGATAAATATGTTCATCAGAATTAACTACCCATAAAATACAGTGGTTAGTATATTGACAAGAATTGGGCTTCTGCATAGAAATTTATACTAACAAAACAATTGGATATTATTCCAAATGTTTGTGCTAGAATTGTACCCTACAGGGATTTTTGCACTTTAGCAGTTTTAACCTTTGGGAAATTTAAATAAGAATACTTTAGTAATTTTGAGAGTTTTGTGTTTTTCAAACTATGAATATTTTCCTAACTAACAAAAGTATTGAAATAGTTGGCTATAAATAATCAAAATGGATTGAATTTCATCACAATCAAAACAAACCAGGAGGTTTGACAGTTTAGTAAAAGAGCAAAATCAGATGTGTATGAAAAAGGAGAGAGGAAATAGAGCAAAATTTTCAAATATTAGAGAATTTTGAAGACAGAAAATCAAACCTAGCTTGGACTTGTTTATATAAAATCAGCCCTACCACCTGGAGAGACAAATTCTAGCTGATCTAGCTTTAAAAAATGCCATATACAAAAGAAAGAGTGTAGCTTCAGTCATTAAACTATAGTACATTTGCAGAGGTCTTGCCTGTTTGTAGATATGATGTGAGTTCTCAGTTATGTGTTCAGGTAGAATTAAAATAAATGCATGCAGATTATAGTTCTACAATGCCCATATTACTGTATGTGAACCTCTAAACAGTGAGGCTACCATGATCAGCAAAGAGGAAAGATCACCCTATCGCAGTTTATGAAAATACTCCACCCAGAAAGAGTGAGCGACGCAAAGCAGTGGAGAAAGTTGGGACATGAGCCCTCAGGGCCTCTGCTAGTGGAAAGAACTGAGGTAATGCAGAGCTAACTCAAGTGTGCTAAGAAATAAGTGATTCTTTCAGGTCAGAAATTGAAAAGGAAGAAATCCACGTGCAATGTCAGAGATATTTTGCTAGCACTCTGATTTTTTTTTTTTTTTTTTAGCATAGACATTTTGGACCACTGGAAATGCAATGGGTAAAAATTACAACCTAGATAATTAGTTAGCTATGAAAGAATTCGAGATTTCTATTTGGTAATCTCTGGAATTTGAGAATCTTATAAATTTTTTTTCTTTTAAGAAAAAAATCTTACAGTAATTATTCAGCAATCTGTTTCTTGATGAATCTTCACTCTGATTTCCACAGTGGTTGCACCAGTCTCCCCTCCCACCAACAGTGGAGAAGAGTTCCTTTTTCCTCACAGCCCACCAGCATTTGTTAATGGTTGGTTTGGAAGTGAAAGGGCAAGAAATTGCTCAAAAGGAAAAAAACATCTGAGATGAGGGAGAGGAGAAAATAAAGAAGGAAAAAGTAAAAAAAAAAATATATATATATATATATATATATGATAGATAATTGTATTACTAATGTCTGTGAGTTCATCAAAAAATGGTTTGTGCTTTCATTGTTTGATCATTTTTTCAAACTAAATTTTAAAATCTGAGCAACTACTTTGAAGATAGCAACACACAATATATTAACCATTGTTAACCTCCTATTATGTTGTTTTGAAATTCTGTATCATCATTTTTGTTCTTTTTCATTTAGAAAACATTTTTAATACATAAATTTGATTTGGTCCAAGTAAGAAGAAAGGCAAGGAGGTTGTTATGAAAGAACAGCAGTTGACTCAAGATGAACAGGGACTGTCCTACCTCAGCTCTTTCCACTAGTGGAAAAGACGTCTCTTCTAAGAAATAGAAATATTGTTTAGTTTGCCTACCAAATAGGCACTCCCCCTTATTGGCAATAAGAACAAGTTTCTACCCAATGTAATTCTAAGAGCAATTTCTTATTATTGCATAGAGTTAATACATGGGCTATTCCCAAACCCCAAATCAGTCATTTTTAAACCATTAATAGTAAATCCATAGGAAAGGGGGAATAATTTTTAAATTTCATATTTAATTAAACTTCTGTATTATTCAAAGGGCCTATTGTTTCTTTTAAATAATGGAACCTCTGCATAAACATAAGGAAGTGAATAATTAAAGCAATTGTCTAGATTTTTTTGGCAAAGGCATTTTTTAGTTGACCTATTTTGGAAAATTTTCCTTTTTCATATGCAGCATAGGTAAAAAAAAAAAAAAAAGTAAGAAAACTGAAATAAACCTAATAAGTAGAGCCTTACAGCTAACATCAAATGAAGGAAATATTATTAGTATATAATCTAAACCAGAATTATTATTCTGTTTTGTAGACAAATTTAGAAGCTTGAGGCATACTTTGTGAAACCCCTCATTGTATACATAAAAAATCCTTTGCCCAGAGAAGTGAGGTAAAATTCCAAGTGTCTACCTTATTAGAAGGAAAGTTAGACCTAGAACCAGTTTTTCCAGGCTGCCAGTGCAACCATACCTCAGTGGGAAGGGAGCCATGGGCACAGTCCATGCAGGTGAATTGTCAAAGGAGACAGTAGACCAGGAAGTGTCTGTGTGTGTGTGTAAAAAGGGAAATGTATGGTGACTAACACTGCCCTTTGTATGAAAATTGAGCAAACAGGAAACTACTGAGAAAGTAAAGTGGGTTAGGAGTTTATCTTGCCTCACAGTTAATTAGTGCTGTTCAGGAACCACTCTGAGTTCTCTTTAGAAGCCAAGTTAAGAGCCATTTTGGAACCATCTATTGCTATATACAACACAGAGAGCACTGGCACCTACCGCTCCGAGTAATGATGGGGCCAGCAGAGAGGACTGCGTTTCCAGAAGTGCTCTGGGGGCTCCAAGTGGTCCTCCTCTCCGCGTCCCTCCTTTCTCTGTGGCCGCAAATCTGAGGTGTTAATGAAAACAAATGAAATTCCACACTAGCACGAAATTGTTTCTTTATGGCCATTTGGAAAGCAGATTCTTTTGGAAGAGACACCACATGTTCAATTTTATTCATTTCCTTCTGTGCATTTATTTAATTACTTAGCATATAACCGCTACAGTGCTTCTTATCCTGGCTTGGGCTACATTTCTTATTTCCTCTCGCTGTAATTGTGCACTGCTTCATTAATTTACATAGCTCAATGGCTCTCTTGAAAAAGAGCTGTGTTTATCAAATTTTTCTACTTTTATTTCTCTCAAGACTTTAATAAATTCTTCCCTAAAATATTGATCAGCACAGACTCAGTAATGTGGACTCTCCATTTACCTCCCTCTGATAAAGCTAGTTAAAACCAAAGAGATCAGTGAGTGTGAAGAAATAGCTTTCTCTTTATGCACGAGCAGAGCATAAATATAAATATATTAAAGCTACTTCAAATAAAAAATGCATGCATTTTTCTTGCTAATATTGATGTAGCTCTAGGAGGCCTGTCAGAATAGAATTTTAGAAGTTTTTTTTTTTATTTACTACTAACTAGACTTATATTTTAATGGTGCCTATTTATTATTTATTTGTATGTGCTACTAACTGGACCTGTTATTTAAAGATGGTTAAAGATCCACTCTTTTCATGGCTTTTTACTTTTAATCCAAAGTATTCTTGGGCATCTGGAAACAATCTTTCTTTGTAGCTCCAGTTTAACCAGTCTTCTGGGTTTCACATCCTCCTCTAATCTGCTCACACTGTTATATGTGGCTGGAGACTCTGAATTTCCTTTGGTATGGAGTGTCTTCACTGTCCTGAGTTTGCCCCTTTGGAACATGTCCATCTTCAAAGTCACGGCTGGGGTTCATCCCTTCCATGAATTCTCCCATCCCTCCTCTCCATTTTTCTCATGATGGTGAACTGCCTCTGACCACAGTACATGCATTTGTCTACTTTATGCCACCAACCCTTTTTTTCTTACATGAAAATCTTGTGATACTAAATTACAGGCTAACTGAAGTCAGAATTAGTGAACATTTCAACTCTATATCCCCATATAATGCTTAGCAAAAGGTAGTTTATTCAATAGATCTTTACTAGATGAAGTAATAAATCACATTTCAAACCATTTGAACTAGATAGAAATTAGCTCCTGACGTATGATAATCTTTCAGTTTAGAACAGTTCAACAATTTAGGAAAAAGTCATTGAAAAACGTACTGGCATAAGGAAGGGACAGTCATCAGCTCTGCAGAGCTTGGTTACACAGTGCAGGAAAACGGTGGACATCTTCTGATTCTTATGCTTCACAAATCGGAACACCTCAAAGGAAAACCGGCCTCGCTGGCTTCTGCCATTTTCAATGACAGTGGTCTGGGGATCTTTGTCACAGCTGCATTTTAGGGAATGTGAAAACAGCACATCACTGGAAAGTACCAGACTACTGAGACTTTTAAACAATTTCTGTAGTGTTAAGGGCACCTCATTACACTATGAACAATAGAACCATGCCATATCATGCTATTTAATAATAACATAAGCTAATTCAATAGTTATGAGTTATAAGAGTAACCTAGGTCATAAAATTTAAACAAGTTAGTTTGTTATTACAATATTACTGCCAAATTTAGGAGAATTCTACAGTGGTACTTCTGTTGAAGAACTTAATTCATTCTACAACTCTAGTAAAAATGGTAAAATTTATATTCATCACCAGACACAGAGTTCACAAACAAAAGCAAAATTTTGCCAAATACTTTGCATGGGAACCAAATTGCTCAAAAACAAATATGCACCATCATACTCTCAGATAATTCAAAAATCCAATTATTATAAAATTCATATTGTGAAAAATTCCCCTCTAATATTTGCTTTTGTCCTTATTATTCCATGAATCTTTCAAAACTGATTGATTACTTACTTATTTTTGCATTATTACAGAACATGTGAAAATAGAAACATAAGATATATTTTATTGTTCCCTCCTTCTTATACAAAGGATGTTTAAAAATAATTTGATAGCATATTTCCACATTAATATGTAGAGAGCCTCTCATTCTTTTTACACAGCTATATAGTATTCCAGCATGCAAAGTTGCTAATGTTTATTTCATTAGTCCCCTTTTTTTAGTCACCCAGTACCAGAAATTGGACTCAGGTCTTTGTGCTTGTCAGTCAGGTAGTTAAACAGCTAAACTATATTGGCCCAGTTCCCCTTTTTTTATATATATTGGCATTATTCTAATCATTCAGTCTTTAAAACAAAACCATAATAAATATTCCTAAGATATATAAGGTTGAACATGTTCAAAGTGTCATCTATAAAGCATACCACTACAATCATTCAATAGCTATCACCACGTTTCTTACTATAAATTTTGCCATTTTGGACATTACCAGCAAATTATAAAAACAAAATACTAATTTTTTTCAGAGTTTCAGCAGCAGAATATTGATAAAATTTGGATTTTTCCTGTTTGATAATAAAAATAAATTATTACTATATAATTTTAGTTTACATTTGCTTTAGTGTGAATGAGTTTGTATTTCGTTACCAACACATTAGTGCCATTTGTTGCCTTTCTGAAAAGCGTGCATGTGTTTGTTTCAAGGGCTATTATGATGTTAGTCTTCTTTTTCATTCTTACAAGTTTTCATAGTAGGGAACTGATTTGTTACATAAATTCCACCTCTTTGTACTTTGTTGTTTGGCTTTAAGGTTTTTTAAATTATTATTATTATTATTATTATTATTATTATTATTTTATCGGTACCGGGGACGAAACTCACGACCGCCTGCTTGCAAGGCAGGTGCTTATGCTGCTGAGCTAAATCCCCAGCCCCTTGGCTTTAAGTTTTAAAGGTGTTTTTCAAATTCTTCTATTCCATTTCTAAAACTGTATTTTTATATTTAAATTAATAATATACTTTACAGTTTACTTTCTTATATTGAGTAACACAGCCCATACTATTTTCTTTTATGTTATCCAGTGTTATTATTACAAATTTGCTTATCAAAAAATCGCTTATCCCACTGATTTGTGGTCCTACAGTCTATCAGATAAAAAATTCTTATGTTTTGAGATCTCTTTCTTGACTTACTATTCTATATCTTTTATCAATGTGTCTGTTCTTGAACAATATCACATTCCTTTAATAACTGTGGTGTAGTTACTATCACATTTAGGAAGATCATACTCACCTCATTTCCATGTTGATTCCCAACTTGTCTTTCTATATTTTTATTTGCTACTTATCTATTTTTCTTTATTCCATTAGTTTATAATTCTATTTTTTCAAATTAAGTAAAAGTAAGGTTACTTTTTACTTAATGAATCACAAAAATGTTGGTTTGTATTTCAATTTTTAATATTAATGTTATGTGTTTTTAAAGTTCAAAGTGGCAAAGACTTTCTATTGTCTGACATTGTTAAAAATTGCTCCTGCTGGAGATACAAATTATTGATCACATTATTTAGATCTGGGTACCTACTTGATTATTGACCACAAGAACTCAGTTTCCAGCTAGATAAATTATCCAACTTTACTGCGTTTCTGATTGTCTTTTTCAGTGTCCTCTACTTTTCACTTCGTAAAATCTTGATTTAATCCAAGGTACCTTTCACCATGTTAAGTTCTTCTCTTTAAATTCAGATAAGGGTTCCTAAATTATGCTATTAAATATTTTATTATTATGATCTCCTTTGAGGGAAGTCTAGTTATGTATATTACACATATATTAAATTTCCTTCACCTATCCTTTTCCTATCATTCCTATTTCGATCCTTTTAACTTTTTCTTTTGTACTTATTTTTGTCTTCTACCTCTCACACTGTGCTTTCTGCTGTTTGGACTTTCTTGAATAATTGCTAATTATGTCTTTCTTTTCAGTAATCGGTTTTTTCTATTTTCATCTTAAATTTTTTCAGTTGCTTTTCACAGTCTCAGGGCTTTTTTACCATCTACCTGAGTTTTATAATTCTGTCTTCATAACTATAAACTTCCTTTAATTATTTTATAATTAATATTGGAATGTTTGAGTACAGATTTCATGTGGCTTTTTTTGGCCTTGTGAATTTAGTTCATCTTTAAAATTATGTTTTCTGACATATCAATATTTTCTTAAGTTAGTTTAAACACTGAAGGGCATGACTGTATTTGTTCAGTATTCATATTTGTAAAATTTGGGTTTCCCTAGCCCTTTAATGTCAGGAATCTCCCAAGCAGCTGTGAGATGGTGATGAATTTCCTTCAGGATTGCCTCAAATCCAGGGCTCCTTCTTAAGTTTCACAGTGAAAGACAAAGTAGCTGTGTGGCACTTGTCTAGCAGCAAGTTTTCTCTACCTTCCTGAACTTTAAGGTGTTTAGAGTTTTACCATCAGCCCTGTGCTCCTCAGATCATTCACCAGCTCTGCCCACCAGGGTGCCTTCTCAGGTGTCCTTAGATTTACAAGTAGCATCATTACTGCTGACTATATGAGATCTATCACTTGTGAGGCTCTGGACCCCAGCTACTCTCTCATTTTGCATATTTTGCAGCCCTGGTGGCTGATCCTTTCCATAGATCTAGCAACTTACACTCAAAAAGCACCCTTTCCTTGCAGACATGCTTTTCTCCATGGGATTTCTAGATTCTGTCACCACCAGGGCCTCTCAGCTCCAGTGTCCTTCCATTTCTAAAATCCCTGTCTACACTGCGCCCTGCACAGTGTTTCCCCTCTCCTATTTTAATCAACTTTGCTCATAATTCGAATTTATTTTTTGCCTAAATTCAGAAAAAAGAAAATATCTTGCAGAAGTTTGTGCGTGTGGGAAATGGATCATTGTTTAATTTGTTTGTTATATGTTCTCCTCTTTAAAGCTTTCTCTAACAAAACTGAAAAGATCAGAATGAAGCTGTCCTGTTATTTATATTGGTAGTCTGAAAATCATATTGCAGATTCAAAACCTTTGATTATTATATAAACTTCACAAACAAGAGAAAGGTCAAAACAGAATGATACAAAATTTTCCCATATGTAGATAACAATTAAAAATGCTTTGGTGTTTTTTCTTACTGTCTTTTCTAACATATAAATGGAGGCCCACCTTATATACAAGTGTTTATACTTATTCTTTCCCTTTATATGTTAATATACTTAAATATCTAAGAGTCACATATTTCTAAGGCTATAGAAACCAAGAAGACAAAAAGAAAGTAAAATAAAACCAATCATTTTTCCATTTAATAAATAACTACATGATTATGATATTTATATGAACTCTCAATATACTGGTTCTCCACCTTCTTACTGCCAAATAAGGTTCCCAAGTTTTACTATTTTAAAGAGTGCCAATAGACTAGAACATTAAAAATATTATAAAATATAATTCTCAATTTATAAAAATATAATCACACAATATGAAATCTTTCAAAACTTAGTAAGTACTGATATCCCATCCCATACTTCCAGCAACAAAATATGTGTGTTCATTTTGATTATGTCCTCTGAACATCATCTTAACCTTGATTAATTGGTAAAACACATTCCTTTAGTTTCCCATTATATTGTTCCCATCATGTGTCAATAAGCTGCAATGATCTGAGCCAAATGCATTTTATAAGTGTGATCAGAAGACATTGTTTGACTCTCAAGTCTATACTGTCAGAAAAAATGCTGAAAGGGAGCTAGAATGATTAAATGTTTTTATGATCAATGTCCCCTTTCCCCAAATGTAGATTACATAAACTCTATCACTGTCTATCAGGGAATGAAGGTATTGGCTCTGATTAAAAGAAAAAAAAAGATGTAAGCTATATTTTACTTTCATATTAAATACTGACAAATGATAAAAAGCACTTGAAGTCCAAATTATCCAAACAATTACTTTAATTTTACTCTCCTTTTGACATATGATGAGATGGGCTAGCTGCAGATAAATAATGCCTCCTACCACCATTCTCTTACTGCCAATACTGTCCTAACCATGCTTTACTAAGATACTGAAATAATCTGCCTATCTTCTAAACATGAATAAAACATCTTAGTGGACCTAACATAGTTACAAGTTTTATTCAACAAAAGCCTTATCAGCATTTTGTGTTGAAAACTGTTCTTAACTTTAATTTTAGCTATATGAGGACTAAAAATTCAAAATGGAAAGTAATTGAAAATCACAGTGATGCCCTATAATTTGCTTATCTAATCTAGATTTCCCATTTCAGTTGTCTACAACTGATCATTGCTACGAACCCAAGACAGACACTTACCTAAGGAAGAGATCATACCGAATATCATCATTTGGGTTCCCAGATGGGGTTGTGTAGCAATAATCCATTAAGACATTCCATCTGCAGAGAGAGGCAAACAGCTCAGAATCTCCTTTTAGGTGTTGATTATTAGTACAAAAAAAGTAAATGCTTACAAATTTATCACATGGAATGTAGCTTTTGTTACTTTTTGTAGAACCTTCTTGTTAATTAGAATTTTTTCCAAAAAAGAACATGTTTAAAAATCTTGTAACTATTCCCATCCCCACTGTGGGTTAAGGCTAATGCCCACACACATAAAATTGAGAAAAAGGTAAATGAAGGTCAAATTCTAAAGTAAAAATGCCACACAGTAAACTATACACATTCTTTTACCTTTCACTATGAACAGTATTCTTTTATTTCTGTTTCTAATAGTTACTGTCTCTAATAGGAGGCTGGTGCACAAATTACACGCTGGCACCAGTGAGGATGAAATTCCACAATACACACTTTGTGAGGAAGAAGAGAGCTATGAGACAAATGTACCGTCTTCTTCCACAAGGCCTAGAACCTTGGACCTAGACTTATACATGGCTTCCCTTGGCTCTAGTTGTCATAAAAAACACTAAGACAAGAAAAGTGAGTGCCAGTAACACAACAAAAATCATGTATTTATAAATTCATTTTTAAAGAGTCACATATATCAATTATGAGAAAGAGAAATGGAAAAACAGAACCAAAATTCTAGAGTATATGAATCTTTTCAGAATGCAAAGTTTAATAATATATAAGAACCTCCCAAAACAATTTATATATTATATTTTTATAGGATAAGAGATCTTCAGCTTTTGAGTTTCACTTCTGTTTTTATCACTGAATTTTATCAGTATTATAAAAACTAAACTGAATTTGTCTTCTTTAAAAATATTTCTAAATACTCATAAATATAATTTGGTTCTTTCAATATGCAGACAATTCTTCGTTTTTTACTAAATAGTAATATACATAAAGAAAAGTACACAAATCAAAAGTATTCAAAAGCGACCAATATCTTTGTCATCTTTCTGAAGAAACAGAACATTCTACACAGCCCTTAAAAGTCTCCCTATGCTTCTTCAGTCACTACCTCTCTTTTATGGGAAGACTTGTCTCTCTCCAGTTAATGACATTAGTTGAGTGTCAGCCCTTAAATTTTGTAAAGTTTTTTTTTTTATTAGCATGCCTAAATGGTGTAACAATTACAGTATTTTTCATTGGAATTTAAAAATGAATGACCTAAGTTTATGACTCAGGAGATTTAAATGTTTGAGCCAGCAAAATATAAGAGTTTGAAAATACCTGCCATCCAGATTAGTAGCTTGGACAGCTGCAAATACTTTGGTTTTCAAAGGTAATCCTATACTTGGGATAATTAACTGCTGACTGTAGGTTGAATCCTGGTGATGAAATAATAAACAATCTGTCATTGTCTCTCTACAAAGCACATTTACCACCTACAACAGTGTTACAGAAAAAAAAGAGCAAGTGAGTCAGCATAAATATACACAACCAACTCCCAAAGGATTTTACTTAATCCACTGGCTTCTATCAGAATTTCTCTTGAACCAGATGTTTGTAACAAATTGATATCTGTGGATAAATACCTCTTTACATAGTTACCAATATCATAATTTCAATTATATTCGATAGTAGTTAATGTTCAATTTGCTTAATATTTAATAGTCAATGTTCAGTTTATTTAAATAGTATTCATTTATTCATTTATATTAGTGCTAATCTTCAGTTTGTTTAAATGAAATCTGCTTTAAATTAAACTCTTTACTTTTGGAGTATTAGGTCTTACACTTTTGGTGATTTTTCATTCACCGAAAATCACTTATCTGGTAACTTGAAATTATCTAAATGTAACTGAAATACAAAAAGACAAAGAGTTCAGCACATTTTTTGAATTTCCAGTAATAGTTTGGACACTTTAGTTATGAAAAAAAATTATATTCATGTGGAGTATTTTATTCTCAAATAAAGCCAAATAGTGGATTATATGATGTATTTAGAAACTGTCATCCTGTTATATTACCTTTTGTGTTTTTAATTATTTCCATATTTTTGTTGTCAATCATAATAGCTCTTCTAACCATGTCTGAGAGGTGGCATTTCATTTAAAGTCTCCCTTGTTCCCTTTCCCAATGATTCCAAGTAAACTGTATTTATTAACTAGCTGCTCTTTCATATCAATATTACCCAAAAGGATGCCTACTTTCCTTAGAAGTAGTATATTGCTAAGTCATTTGAAAATGATGTATGACCCAGTTGTGGTTTCATCATTCATCATCGATGTTTTCCTTCTGTGATGCCTTTTAAAAGCTTTTCTGACTTTATTTGGCATAGTTGGCTTTACCTTCATCCATGCTACATAGTTCCTAAAATCAATTATATTTTATTTTTTCTCCAACCTTTAAAACATTTCATAATTTCCACAACCATTTTGCAGATCTGCTATTTTTGAACCTGTTCAGAAGACACTAAACACAACACTTAGGGACAATTCAAATACATAAAAGGTTCTTCATTTTCAGTTTCCACAGGAGAAAATTGTTACTTTTACACTACATATAAATTATGTTACAATTCAACTCACAATTACCTTCATATATGTAAATCTCATTGACACAATTATTGCTCTATCAAAATATTTTTTCTGAGTATATTTATTGAGTCCTGGTATAAATAGGAATAAGATAAAATAAAATAAGTATTGTATTACACTTAAATTGGAAGCAACATTTCTCCTCCAGAAATAACTCTGCAGTAGTAGATCTATAATATAACTTTATTTCAATGCACTGAGTTAAAAAATCAAAAACTGCTTCCAAAAGAGAAAAATATAGCCCCATTTAATGTAATAATTGTGGTATTTAATTTTAAATACCACAATAAATTAAATTTAGATAACTAAATGTTGGTGTTCAAAGAACTAATAAACACAATTTGCAATTAGATTTGTGAAACTACCAAATTGTTTGCAGTAGGAATTATTGAGTTTTTAATGTTTTAAAGATATGATATACCACATTAAAAACTAATTTGTGATACTCAAACTTCTATGCTGCATAATGATACCTGTATGCTATTATAATTTTTCAGGAACATGTAATATATAACAAGAAGAATAAACCAAATACAAACTATGCTCTTTAGTTAACAGTAATGCGTCAATACTTGTGCATCAATTGTAACAAATGTTCCACAGAAATACAAGACAAATAATAAATGAATCAATATTCAGGGATAAGATGGTATATGATAGCACTGTACTTTCTGATCAATTTTCATAAAGCTAAAATTGTTCTAAAAATTACACAGTCTGTCTTTTAAAAATTTTAAAACTACCTTGTAGCAAATTCTTTAATTTTACTAAATGGCTTGTTAGAAAAAAAAAAACCTTAAATTTTGATTTAGCTATTTAATTCAACAATCAATAATACATTTATTGCAAACTTACTAAAATGAGAATAATTCTGGCACTATTTCATTTGTGCTATGATATCAAAAAGTGTGCTACATTTACCAACAGAATCAAAATATTAAAGTCGGTATTAATTATAAGCTTTTATTTAGCATTGCTCCCAAAACCTCTTTAAAAGTATGTCAACCTTAACAACTGGGCTAAAACAGCATTTCTAATGGTAAATGAAGAGTTTAACAAGTGTTCTAAATGCTGCAAGCCTATATTTTGATTTTCTGCTTTTCTAGCGAAAGAATTGATTAATTTCACAGAAAATAAAGCATCAGTAAATATCATACCAACGTACTTTTCACTTATTTAAAAAACAAAACTCTTAGCTTTGTCTCAATTACAATAAATAATATTGACTCTAAATGATTGACCTTAATTCTCCTTAGAGAGCTTCACATATAAATCAACAGATAGAATGTTACCAATTTAAAGTTATTTATTTCTCACAACAATAAGAAATATCTGGCCATATTGGGAACAAATATTCACACATAGTTGATGATTATTATACAACCAAGTAACCCAGTAGCTTCTTTTTGCAGAAGAAAGTTTAGAAATGACAGAAAGGCAATCTTCCTTCCAACACATTTTAATTTGTTGTTTAGAGCTCTGTGGTATCAGACTACAAACTTATAAACATGATTTTTTAAATGCCTTTGGAAAATGTCCTACTACAATATTTACAGCTCATTATATTCAAAGTATAAGGCACTGACTTTTAAATCAGTTGCATGAATTATAACTCAAAGCCATGATGACATGAATAATAATGCAAAAATCAGATTCATAATTTACAAAAATGTTGGTTGATAGATTGAAAAATTGATATTTAAATCAGGCATTTAAAATGTATGAATAAAAATTTTTAATCAACATGAAAATATCATTTAGGGTATTAATGTTATAGTTATAAATAGAAATTCATGTATTTTTCACATTTTGCTGCCACTGTTGATATTTACATGACAAAAGTTTAAACAATGCTCTGTCATCAGCTCAAATTATTGCAGATGCGACAAAACTGGCATTAACCAAACTCATTGAAAATATTAACACATGCATCACCAAGGAAGCCTCATTTGGACTTTCCATAACTTTATATCACAAAAATATTTCCCAAATCTTAACCCCATCCATAGCCACACACACACATACATAAATATGTACAAGCAAAAATAGACACTTGAACTATTACTGAATTACATTTCTGATGTAAAATTTAAAGCATTTATTAACTTTTAGGAAATTTAATGGCGTTTACAGTTATTTTTGTGACTAAGACACATGAAAGTGGTAGAAAAGATGAATAAGTGTTACCAAAGTATAACAGCGTTAATGTGACTTTCGATAGATTTTTATATGAAAGCCATTCCCACAAATGGCCCCTCGCAACACTGAAAAGGAAAATAACATCTTTCACTCATCCACTCACGTTGTACAGGAGCAGGTTCAAAGTACTGACAAATGTTCCATTGTTCTCTCTCACAGAAATAGCAGCCGAGGACCTAACACAGATTGATAAGAGGAAAAGCACTGATGAGCTTTTAAATTGAAATTGGTGGTCATACCTGAATGTCAGATTTCAGACAACGAAACACTTGAGCCTGATGTATTTTTAACTGAACTTGTACTGGGTATACTTTAAAATTACCAAGCAGATAAATAATAAAAATTAAGGCAGATCTTTTTACATATAAAGGCATCTTCTTTAAATTTTGCATCACATTTGTAAGATGTTTTGCAAAAATCTTCATTTAATTAGAACTTGAATAGAACAAAAATATTCTTCCATTGCCTCCTTTGGAACTTTTATGAGATCAGAGATTTTGTTTTAGTTTGTTTACTGCTAGAACATCACAAGGTAAGAAGTAGATGTGTAATCAATATTGATTGGATAAATGCATATTCTGTGGATATTAAAACTGAGGAATGTGTTTAGTGGGAGGAAGGGCCAGAAGGCAAAGTAAGAAATGCTTCCTTCTACATTTTTAACCTTTGACCAAGGAATTTTTCTCGTTTTTCACATCACTTTTGCTTTCAACCAAATATTTATCATGGCTATGCTGTTAAAATCAGCTATGAGCATATTTTCAAACAGAAACAGGATACAGCCTCCATGTTACCTTGAACCTAAGATTAAATAATAACTAGGATTTCATAATAGCAAACCTTAATATTGAAGAGGGAAAATTTCCACACAATCACCCCACTTTGCGAAAAATATCTGACAAATGTAAGTGATTATGACATGCATGTAGCCATGTCTCAAAATATGTATGTACTTTAGAAATAGTAAGTGAAAACATGACTATGAAGAATAACGTCAGTCATTTTGTAGGTTTCCTTTCCAAGAGCATCAGACACCCGTATACCTCTGCAGAAGTCAGCAAAATTCAATATGGGAGCATAAAGCAGGAAAGAACAGACAAGACAAGCAGATAGAGTTACAGGTAGATGATAGACAGATATATACATGCATACAAGCATACACACATACATACTTACATACATACATACATACATACAAGTAGATAATTAGGCTTAATGTAGTTCCCGTTACCCTGCTTGAGTTTAGCTGTTCTCAACAAATTCTGCTATTACTATAAATCGCTTAAAAACAAACAGAACTCAACCATAAGGACAATTTGAGAAAGCAAGAACAAAACATGTACTTACGAAGCAAGCTGCGTGTTATTAACCAGGTATTCTAGTGGATAACTACAGCTAAATTTATAAAGAAGCCCAGGTAGATAACTGATGATTGTTGGTGGATCTGGAGTATCAATGTATCCTGAAATGTTTCCTATCTGTACCGAGGTTGTATTTCCATGAGAACTTACTCCAGGAACTGTGGATACCTGTTAGAGTGGTAGATCAAGTTCAGTAATTAAATGGCTGTATATAAACATAGACACTTTATATGCAAATTTAACATTATAACAGATAAAATTTTGGTTCTGATTCAACTGTGACATGGCAGTTTTTGAGCTATACACATATAATGTTCATAAGTAACTATATCTTTAAATAAAACCTAATATTTTAAAGAAATACTCATTTCATAAGTAAAAGAAAGATTATGTCTTCAGAGGACTACAATAAGTAAACCCAAAATATTTATTGATAAAGTTAAGATTGTATGGTATGACTTAACATGTTCCTATCAATATAAACCTATACTCCACATTGTTCTATATCTTCAGGTTACTGCCCTGGTCCTGGCCCCTGGGCCCTCTTTGCTGTGGCCTTTTTGCATGCTACATCAGCTACATCTCTCCTCCCTATTTCACCATGGTACTCCGTACTCTTTCTCAGAATCTCATCTTCCCTGATTAACTTCCTCTGAGGTCACCTTACAGTGACGTATTATATCACAGCAAGAAATACAGCGCATGGGCAGCCTGCTCCCGTCAGTCCTCCTGGACTTCATCAGCGTTCTGTATGGGCAGATCCCATCTGGGCCTAGCTCACTTTCGCACCTTAAAGACAGTACCAGCATCATGACTGCACAAATAAGTTTTGAACAAATAAATCAGTCACAAGTTTTCTGAGGACTGGTCTTCTCAGTGTTTTTTGATGTGGTTCATGGAGATTCTCGCTCTTTTCCTGGGTAACAGTTCATAGATGAGCTTCAGAAGACTCATGAACTCCAACAAGTTAGGGAAAATGTCTAATTGTGTGTATCCTTGACACTGCTTAGCTTTCATTGGATTCTTCAGTCTTCTAAATCTGATGGACTGCTACATAAGGAATGATTATTCTTCATTATTTAATGGTGATTATTCAATAATATTCCTGATTTTCATAAAACCAAGAAAGCACATAGTTTCTTTTCCCACCATACTAAATATAATAAAATATAATATGATATTGAATATATATTTTCAGCAGATATTACTGATCCCTGTAATACTTTATTTGCAACAGTAGAGAAAATTTTACCCATGAAACTAACTTCACACGGGCAAAGCTGAGACAATTATTTAGCTAAATCATAAGATGTCGGTAATAAAATCACTTTTATCCAGTGATCTAGTAGTGTTGAAGCAGACTCAAAGATGTTGATATCTAGGAAATGTTTCCATCCTCTCACTGTTTGCCTGACTTGCTAGCTCAGTACCAATTCTCTGAACACACGCACACACACACGCATGCAAGCATATGCAGTTTTTTATATTAAGAGTCATTCAGCTTCATTAAAAAATAAAATATATACACATAGAGAAGAAAAAAAAAACACTTTTTTAAAACTTTCTCCTGGATTATTTTCTCAGCAACAGAGCAAGTTTACTTAAACCCATCAATAGCAGATTTGGGGGCACTGTGGGAGGAGAGACAAGCCTCTGATCCACACTGGCACCCTCCTCCACAAGGAAACACGACATGCAGTGATCAAACTGCCTCCCCCACCTTAGGCCCACTTCATAACCTCTCTACACACAGACCAGACAGATAAATAAATATTTTTAATAAAAATAACCAACAGTATCCAACTTTCAGGTATGAAAAAGGTTATGGGCACAATACTCTAACTGTCCTTTAGGAAAAAATAAAGGAGACTCAAGTAAATCTCTCTCCTTCTTCGCTAGCTCCCACCCTCTCTTACAAACTATGTCTTTAGAATTATCCTGCCTTTCCTTTTAGTCCTAAACAATAACTTATTAGGTGTGGAAGTCAATTAGTCAATTTCTCCTTCACTATGCTAAGTGATTATGCAATTGACCTTCTGTTCATGTTTACTAGTATTTTATAAGGTTGTGTACAAGCAAGCAAAATAAAATATAGGCCTAAGTGAGTCTCAGTGCAAATAATACCCTCTCAAACTATTAATGTGAATTCCCTTTAAATTCCTAAAGAATCAAATCCTTATTCAATTCTAGTTTTGGTTCTGTAAATTAGTAAAGAAGTGAATGGCAACTAATAGTTCTCATTCTGGGTGAAATGTTCACAGAACATTTTTGATTTTTAAGATGACTGTAGACAATGTATTAGAAGGGTTTCATTGGTAAGATTGATTATGTGAACATTTTGAAATGCAAAAGACTGTCCAACACAATGAAGAACTTCACATTAGAAATATTGCAACTTTTTAAAAATAAAACATTGATATGCATCATCCAGTGGAAAACATGAAAGCAGTTTTAAGTTTTCCGCACTATCCTTTCTGAATGAGGTCACTAAAGCAAATATTCACCAAGTGATTGACAGCCAGACTCACTAGAACCACATTATTTGTAAGATCGGATTATCTTGTAAAAAGCCCAAAGTATATGGCTAATGATACAGTGCAGGGAAGTGCCCATCAGTGTCACTCACACAAAAGAATGTTGCTGAGTAGCACAGCCGACCTTAAATCCCTCAACTGCCCAGCTACTATAAACAGCACCATTATTGGAAGACAGAATTTTGTATTTGAAGGTGCAAGTCTGTTCAGTTTTATTGGAATGTTTTTCTTGGAAGATAGATTGATCTTCATTTTATGAAACGGAGAACTTTCTTATTTATGATTCCAGATGAAAACACAATTCCAAGCAATCTTACCACTAAGTTGTTTCCACAGCCCTCTAAGGTGCTAAGATTGATGATGAAAATGACCACTGCTGGAAAGGTGTTGTTATTGATGAACCCCCTGCAGTGGGAATCCCCATGCCTTCCGTTCAGTGCCAGATCTGTTTCAGAATAACCCGAGAAAAGTACAGTGCAAAAGTTAATCTTCATCGTAATGGTCTGTACCCCACAGTAGACATTGATGTCTCTCTCAGCTGAAACAAAAATATAGGAAAAAAGAAATGTAAGTCACATGAAGCACAATAGAGAGTACACCAATGACTTTTATACCCCCTGATACATTTTTCATGTCTTTAACTTATTTTCTAGACTTGAATACAGGATAATCACACATGTAAATTACTAGGAAAAGTAACCAGGAAAAATAGTCTTTCACTTAGATATTTAGAGAAACATCTTTGAATGTAGAGATTATAATTCACCTCTATCTCTTTGTGTCTGCTGTTCAGTGGGTATGCATTAAATGTCAGTCAAGTACTGTTGAATGATAGAATGGAGTGGAAAAAAATCAGGTTGCTGAGGAAACTCAAGACTAGAGGAACTGAATTATTCAGCTCTGCCTCGAATAATGTATAAACGATACATTTTCCCAACTGTAAGGAAGAAGCAGTTTTAAAATTTCACCATAAATCAAATTGTCAAGAACTTTTATATATGCTAACTCATCGAGGACAGAGACACAAATTCATCTAGAAGAATTTTATTTTATATAGTATACATTGAAACACATTAGAGAAAGAATGAAAAATTGTGTGATGATATTATAGACTAATATTAATAGATTACTCTGGAAGAAAATTTTGCAAGTGACTATGCATGCTTCAAGAAAAGAGTGAACAGGGCATGTCAACGTAATTTGCAAGGTTTTCCATGTCAGTAGTTTATCAGTAATAAAGACTCTCCTAGATCTAAGGAAGTGAGCACACACATGCACACACATGCAAACAAGCTTTTTGTGTGCCTATTATTTTCTACATATAAGGAATAAAATGTATGCAGAAAATGGACAATTTGGCTGTGAGGCAATACCCTAGTGGTAGATGTTTTCCTTTATCAGTATTGATACTTTTTATGGACTGAATTACATCATCTCCCAAAAAGGATTTGGAGAAATCCTAGTCTCACCTCATGAAGATTTTATTTGGAAATGAGGTTGTTATAGCTGTAGTTAAAAGAAGAAAGGGTCATACTGGAGCAGAGTGGGAGTCAATCAATATGACTGACATCCTTACAAGAAGAACACGTTATAAAGAGACAAACACACAGGAGAATATCAGGTGAAGACAGAGGATTGGAGTAATGCACCCAAAAACTGAGGAGCCCCAAGATTGCCTTGAAACAATACCAGAAGTAAGAAGAGACAAGAAACAGGTCTTCTGGACTTTTAAAGGGAGGTTGACTCTGCTTTCCTTTTGAATTTCTGGCCTTCAATTCTTAAAGACAGTGAATTTCAGTTATTCTAAATTGCCCCACAAGATAATAAGTTTCTATAGTTTTAAATCACCTCTTGTGTGCTACTTTGTTATGAAAGTGCTGGGAAACTAATACAGGAGTTTCATCACCTTTTAACCCTGTCTTACCAATTAAATAAAAACCCTGAAAGATTTCTACATTTGCAAAATGTAGAAATAAGCAAACAAGAATTAATTATACTATCTGGAAAAATTACCTTGATTGATTGGGAAAGGAAAACTAGACAAAATTATAGTGTGTTTTTGGCATATGATAGGATGTTTACCTAAGAAATATGTAAGTGGCATTCAAGATAAATTTGTTTGAATAATTCAGTCTTAAGAGTACAAGTGTTCAATTGAATGTCTTTTTGGAATACTTATTGTTTATGCAGATTTTTGCTTGAAAACTGAGTCATATTTTTAGGATACTAATAAATCAGTAAGAAATTTCTATGATTGGTAGTAATTTTAAAATCATTACAATTCCCCTTTTCCTGGACAGAAGGCAAGTTGTGGGCTAAATTTTATAGACTAATGAAAGAAATATTCTTTTTTAAATAAAATAGCAAAATGACTTAATTAAAACATACTTTATCAACATAAAAAGTAACAAACTTGAAATTTAAAGAAATAGCTCTATAACTTTCAACAATGTTAATTGTTTAACATTGTTTAACATTGCAAGTATAATTTTTAAATTATGTCTTCCTGAAATAAGAAAGCTAATTTTTGAATGTTGATTAAATAAATATCTATGAACATCAAAGTATATTTTTTATTTTAAAAACAAATACACCAAAATCAAGAAACAAACAAGCAATTAAAAAACAACACCAAAAGCAGAATGACAACAACAACAAGAAAAACAATGGCAATATAGGATTTCAAAAAAAAATGATAGAAATATTAATGATTATTATATTGCATATTGTTAATCTCAAAGTAATTGCTCAGGCTACCAGATACAGTGATGCAAGACTGATCAAACAATATAATTTCCCTTTGAGCAGTTTCTTTCCCTTTTACTATATCTATAGTAACTTTTGGATCTTACGTACTCTTTCAGTTTCTTACACTATTGAGACAATACAGTGTTTATACATGCAAGTCTAATTTATATCACTTATGAATGTGGTTTCTAGTTGTATCCACTTACCTATAAAAAAAACCCTAAAGTTTATTATTCTTTATGGCTGAGTAGGATTCCATTGTATAAAAATACCACATCTTTTTTATCCATTCTTCAGTTGACAGGCAGTTGGGTTGTTTCTAAGATTTAGCCAATAAATTGTGCTGCTATAAACATGGGTGCACATATATTGCTGTGGTATGATGTTTTCAGACAATCTGGGAAAATACTCAGAAGGGGAATAGGTTAAATGGAACCTCTAATCCTAGATGTTTGAGGAATCTCCATAGTGATTTTCACAGTGACTGTACCAGTCTACACTCCCACCAACAATGGAGAAGGGTTCCTTTATTCCCCACATCCCTGCCAGCATGTATTGGTTGATTTCTTCATGTTAGTCATCCATTCTGAAGTGACATGATATCTCAGTGTTAATTTGCATTTCTCAAATGAACAGTGATGTTGAACATTTTTTCATGTTTTTACTTTCCATTTGTATTTCTTCGTCTGAGAAGTGTGTATTCATCTCAAATGCCCATTCTTGGATTGGATTTTTAAATTGGGTGGCCGGATTTTTTTTTCAATTATTTGTACATTGTGGATAAAAGTCCTTTGTCTGAGGAATAGTTGGCAAAAATCTTTTCCCAATCTGTGGGTTTTCTTTCAGTTTGTTGGTGATTTCTTTCGATGTTCAGAGATTTTTTACTAAGGTGAGATCCCAGTTGTCAATTCCCTGAAACACTTCCTGCATAGATTGATTTTTGTTCATGAAGTCTTGCTCTAAGTCCTCAAGACCTCCACACACTCTGTCCTCCAGCATTCTAATACTTAGATTCTAATACTAAGATCTAAGATTCTAAGATTCTAATACTTAGATCTTCAATCCATTTTTTGTTTAATTTAGTGCATGGTGATAGGCATGGATCCAGTCTGTCTTCTGCATGTAGAAATCCAGTTTTCTTTCACCACCCATTAAAGAGGCTATCTTTATTTCAATGAATATACCTGGTCCCTTTGTCAAAGATAAGGTGGCTGAGGCTGTGTTCAGTTGTCACTGTATCCTCCATTCTAGTCTATTGATCCTCAGGTCTGTTTTTCTGCCAGCACCATGCTGATTCCATTACAGCAACTTTGCAGTGGAATTTAAGTCTGTGATTGTGATGCCTCCCACACTGTCCCCATTGCCCAAGACTGTCCCTGCTATTCTAGGTCTCTTATGGTTCCAAATGAACTTTAGGAATGTTTTCTCTAGATCTACAAGGCACGACAATGGTATTTTGACTGAGATTGCATCAGATCTGCACAACAGCCCTGGGAGCATGGCCCTCTTCACAGTGCTGAGGCCATCTTCCTTCCCACTTGTAAGCAAGCGATATCTTTCCATTTTCTAAATTCCTCTCCAATTTCTTCCTTCACAGTACTGTAACACTCAATGTATAAATCTTTTACTTCCTTTTTTTAAATTTATTCCAAGTATTTCATTTTTTTATATTATTGTAAAGGATATGGTTTCCCTAATTTTTCTCTCAGTGAGCTTTTCATTTATGTATAGCAATGCTACTGACTTTTGAGTACTGACTTTGTACCCAGAGATGCTGCTGAACTTGCTTGTTAAGTCTACAAGTCTGTTGGTGGAGTTTTTAGGGTTGTCTATATAGAGTATCATGTTAGCTGCGAACAAAGATAATTTAACTACTTCCTTCCCTGTCTTTATTCCCTCCATTCTTTCTGTTTTCCAATTGTGCTGGCTAATGTTTCCAGAACTATGTTCAGTAGAAGTGGTAATATTGGACAACTTTGTCCTGCTCCTGATCCCAGAGTGAAAGCCCCCGGCCTTTGACCATTTAGTATGATGTTGACCATTTAGTATGATGATGGTGCTGACTGTCACAGATAGCTTCTATCCAATTGAGGCAAAGACCTTCCACTCCAACTTTCTCTAGGGTTTTCACCTTCATTGAGTGTTGGACCTTATCAAAAGCTTTCTCTGAGGCTATTGAGATGATCATGTCATTTTTGTCCTTTGCTCTGTTAGCATGGTGCACATTTATTGACCTACATATGTTCAACCATCCCTGCATTCCTGGGATGAATCCTACTTGGTCATGGTACACACACAATCTTCTTGATGAGTTGCTGAATTCTGTTCACTAATATTCTACTGAGGATTTTTGTATCTATGTTTTTTAGAGATTGGCCTGTACATTTCTTCCCTCGTTGAGTCCCTCTCTGGTTCTGGCACCAGAATAACAATTGCCTCCCAGAATGAACCAAGGAGAACTGCTTCTCCGTCAATTTCATTAAAAAGTTTGAGAGTGATTGGCATCAAATAATCTCTAAATTTCCTGTAGAATCCATCAGGACCTGGGCTTCTCTCTGTTGGAAAGTCTTTAATTAAATTCTGAATTTAATTAACTGATGTTGAGTTATTCTGAAGTTCCACATCCTCCCAATCCAGTTTTGGAAAGTCACATGCCTCAGGAATCTATTTATCTCTTCTGTGCTTTGATCTTATAAGAGCAAAGGTTTTCAAAGTAGGTAGTGATGATCCTCTGCAATTCCATAGAGTCTGCAGTGATCCCACCACCCTCATTCCTCATTGCATGAACTT